CAGTCTTCCAGTATTTGGATCCTGTGGCCGGACTGGCAGGCTGGGTGGGAGGTGAGTGACAGGTGGCAGGAAGGGCCAGGGGGTGAGTGAGAAGGACTGAGAGCAGCTCATTCGCCCCCCTGAGGACGCACTCAGGCACACAGAGCAACCGACCCCTGACTTAGCTTTGTGCAATTTAAATGGCTCCTGAGCGTCCTTTCGTTGCTGGCCCTGAGGAGATGGGGACACAAGACAGAGAAGACATGGGCCCTGCCCTACAGGGCTCTCAGTCCATATAGAACCACAGGAGCAAAGAGGACAGGCTCAGGAATTGCATAGAACGAGCTGGATCTAAATTCTGGCTCCATCACTTCAGCTATGAGCCTCAGGTTCCCCATCTTTAAAATGGGGGAGAGCCAATAACTACCGCTCAGGTTGCTGTGAGGATTAAATGAAATCAATGTGCACGTAAAGAGTTTAGAGGCTTGACTGACATGTGCAAATGTTCAAGCAGTGAGAACTACATTATTACCATTGTTCCTCTTTGGAGAAATCACCCGAGGGCCTCTTCCCCACAATCCCAACATTTCTAGAACAGACACGGAGGTGGAAGATACACAGGAGACCCCGCCCCCTCCCCAGACCTGGTCATCTAGCCCCTCTTCCCTGTGTACCTGCCGAGTCACACGAGCTTCCTTTCTCCAGCATCTTTGTGTCTTATCAGCAATGCGCAGCTGTTGATATGCCTTCAGCCTGAGTGAGCTGTAGATCACGGCCAGTTTTGACTGCATATAAAGTGGCCTAGAAGAAGCAAAGCATCATTTTAGGGATTGGAGCATTTTACTTTGGCAACACCCAAAAATACACAAGCTCCCAGCTCACAGTGCCCGGTAACCACAGAACAGCATCTTGGCTAAGAGCATAGGGCTTCAGCCCTTTCTGTGGGCTGTGTGACCTCTAGAAAGTCACTCAGTCCCTCTGAGGCTCAGTGTCCCTACCTGTTCATTGGGGATTCCTGTGCAGGCTATCATGAGGATTAAATAAGATACTATAGTGTGTGAGGAGTACCAAGCATGGTGTGGGACACGCAACAAGCGTTCAGACGTTAGCTACTCATGCTGGTGTATGGAGGGAGGGTGGCACCTCAGGGAAGAGCTAGTATTTTGAGGTACAGTTTCCTCTTGAGGCACCTTTGTAGAAGATGCCTGGGAAGAATGTCCAGAATAGTAGCAAAGCTTGCTTCATCCTGTCCTTGCTACAGCTGGTGCAGGGGGACAGGGAGACAGAGGAGTGGGACAGGGGCTGTCATCATTTATGTTGTTGGTAAAATGGGCCCTGCATTTGAAAAGTGGAAGAGTTTCCCTCATAATTTAAAACAGCACCTACATCTGCTGGGTGCAGTGAGTAGAAGATTAATTTCCCAACAGCCCTGCAGCCAAACAGCTGCGCCCGCCTGTGGCTCTGTCTGCAGGCCTGGCTGATGCTATCTCCTCACCTGGCTGGTAATGAGCCTGGAGGGTGAGGCTCTCTCCTGCTGCTGAGGCAGATGCAGGGAGGGGCCCCTTCAAGATGGCCCCGAGGGCCTAGCCCCTCAGCAGCAGTTTCTGAGTGCTGAGCAGGGCAGGTATGCACACGCACATCCAGCCTAGGTTTTCATCGTGGGCACCTGCAGCTTTGCCATGGCTGGCTCTCTGGTAGCACTTCTGCTTGGATCATGGGGTGATCAGTGTGTCCCAAGCCATTGTTGACACACTGAACAGGACAGTCCAGAGCCCCACAGCAGTGTGGGCTCCATACATTCCGACCCTCCCCTAGGAGGACTGATGTCCTTGACACTCCCAAGTCCTGCTCTTGACCTCAAAAGTGAGAGGCCACATGGCAGAGAGGATGATGATGACATAGGTTGGTTAGCCAGCTGGTCTATAACTGATTAGAAAGAATACAATGACCACTGGCTCAGCTCTAGTCCAAACCAGAGTCCTAGCCAAAGTCCAGGAGTGGCAGCATGGAGGGCTGTGGTCACACTAGCTGAATGGTGGCCCAAAGTTCCATCTCGTGACCACGTATAATCACTGCGTGGAGTGCTATGCTGAAAAGAATGCTGAGGCTGCCTCTTGGGCCAAACAGGAAAGAGGACCACCCCCAATTCGTAAGGCCTGCCATTGGCTTAGTCTTAGGAAGTGGTGCAGGCATCCTACATGGTCTCCAGCCAAGGACTAGGTATCTCCTAAGTTGAGGTCAGGCTGGACAATTTAAACTGATCCCTTTTGCCTGGGGGAAAGAGAGGGAGGAGTGCCTCACTTTGTCGCCTGTCATCTGTGGGTCTTGAAGACAAATGGAAGACTTCAGCTGACAGCCAAGGGAATAAAAATGAGAATCTGTCACTTAAAAACTCAAGCAGTTACAACCTGTCAAAGAGCAGAAAAGAAACCAAATTCTGTATCTTATTGAAAATGGGGCAGTGAAGTCTCCAACTATTACTGTCGTATTTTCTATTTCTCTCTTCAATTTGTCAGCCTGCACTTTATGTATTTTGAGGACTGTGTTATTAGGTGCATATAAGTTTATAATTGCTATAATTTGTTGATAGATTGACATTTTTATCATTATAAAATGTCCCTCTTACTTCTGATGATATTTTTGTTTTAAAGTCTATTTTTCTAATATTAGTATAGCCATTCCAGCTTTCTTATGGTTGCTATTTTCATGGTATGTCTTTTTCTGTCCTTTTATTTTCAGCCTATCTTTGTGTGTTTGGTTCCCAAGTATCAGGCTCCTATAGACAGTATATAGTTAGGTCTTGTTTTCTATCCAGTTTGGCAATTTCTGCTTTTTGATTGGATCAACAGTTCAAATTATATTCAATGCTATTATTGATATATTAGAATTTACATTTGCCATTTTACTTTCTTCTATATGTCTCTTATCTTTTTTGTTCCTCTATTTTTCCTTTTTGCTCTAAGTATTTTCTACTGTAATATTTTAATTCTTTTAATGATTTTTTACTATATTTGTTATCTCCTTAGTGATTGCTCTAGGGCCTAGAGTATGCATACAAATGTATCACAATCTACTTCATATTTATATTAAGTTAATCCCAGTGAAAATTAAGTTACTCCAGTTACTCAGCTATGACTCTATTCCCTCTTCCCCCTTTCTGTGCTATCATTGCTGTACATTAGAGAGCTTCTCTTCCTGTTCCTCAGAATTTAGTGGAGAGACCATGGCCCAAAGAGCACCTGGCTTAGCCATGTACTAGCATGGCATTTAATAACTTTAAGCCTCATTGGCCTCACCTATACAATGAAGAGAATTGTAGGAACACAGGATTGAAGGATAAAGTGAGCTCTTGGCACAGAGCCTGCACATAGTAGGGTTCCTAAAAACATCAGTCTGTGTTTGGCTCTCAAAGAATCCCAGAAATCCATTTACCCCAGCCTTCTCACAGCAGAGTCAGGAAGCATGTGTACCCAGCCAAAGCCATGGGGAACTTCCTCTCTCCAGTGCACGGCAGCTTACAGCGAACTTCAGCAAGCAAAGGCTAGGACCTCGGGCGAGGAGGACGAACTGGCCCGGAGAGCAAGGCCTCCAGGCCAGCCCCTCCTGCAGAAAGTCAGAATGCTGCAACAGCCACCAGCACGGGCCAGAACTGCTGGCAGGGCATGTTCATAGCTCAGGATAAGGCCCCACGTTCATGCTTCATGCACCTGTCCCTTCCACGGTCTGAGTGAGGGAGAGGCTTTTGGAGGAAGTGATAGGAAGGAATGAAAAGGGAGAGGTGGCAACAGCTGATTGTCCAGCCTCTGATTAGCAGAAGTCCAGGCCCTTATCCTGGGAAAAAAGCCTTCCTCCAGCTACCCAGGCAGGTGACCACCCATATTCTGCTTGCTTACCACCCAAGACAGAGGCCTCATTCCCCTGAGGCAGGGCAGGGCCTCCCTGCCATTTCTCCACCGGGTCTTGAGCCCGGAGCCACTCACTCAGTAGAGGACAGGGCACCCTGCTGTGCCTCGGCCAGTGCTGAGTTTGAGGACACAGAAAACAATCACACACAGGCCCCAGAAACCACACGTGATCACATTCAACAGAGACTTGCACATGGGCTCTCGGAAGACAGACAGGGGGGGCCCCTTTCAGAAGAGGGCCCAGGAGTGCTTGCCCCTGATTCGGTGGCTCACTGAGAGTCTGAAGCTGGCCCCCGATGGCCAGATGAGGCTAGCAGCCTCCAGAAGGGCTCATGCCTAGGGCAGTGAGCGAGCACTGGACTTCGAAGCTTGGGCCTGAGCTCTAGCCTGGCTCAGCCACGGAGTAACTGGGTGATTGGGGCAGGTCATTTACCAGCAAGCCTCAGTCTACACACCTGTCAAAGGGGAAACCACACCCCTGCCCGGCTGAACCAAAGGGAATTAAGTGACACTCCACGGCGCTCACTACCAAGGGGTGGCAGTCCCTGAGCACAGCAGCGGGTGCCCCCGCTGCTCCTGGCTGACTCTAATGCCCACCCCAGACCTCAGCGCCCCGCCAGGTTGTCCCGTGGGATCTCAGGAGCTTCCTTCTCTAGGGCTGTCAGACACCCAGCTGTTAGTCCTTGAGGAGGTTCTGGCATTTCCCCATGTTCCTGCCACTTCACACCCCTCCCACCTCTGTGCCTTTGTCCTGATCTTCCTCTGCCCAGAGTGCCTCCCAGCTTCACTTCCTCTGGCAAACCTTCCTGATCTGATCCAAACCACACCCACCAACAACACGTCTGTTGAAGCCCAGAGCCCAGACCTGCCTGATTTCCCTGGAGTCCCCCAGGTAGGTTCCACCCCTGAAGCAGAAGGCCATGGTTGGAGGCCAGCAAAGTTGGCCCTCATACTTCATCTTCCTGTGCATCCCCCACCCCTTCCCAGGACCTTGGTAAAGTCATGCTGACCTTTTAACCTTATGCCTTGGTGGAGTCGAGTCCTTGTCTAGCACTTAATCTTGGGTTCTCGCATTTGCTGTGTGACCTTGGGCAAGTCCATTGCCCACTCTGAGCCATGAGTGAGTCGAGCTCCCAGGCCAGAGGAGAGGAGGGAGGTCAGATCCTGCTACTGAAGGCTCCTTTAGGCTGCGGTGTGAGGTGTTGTGCCCCTAATCCCTGGCAGAAGCAGCCAAGAGAGAGTCCTGACCTCAGAGCAGGTGCCACTGAGTTAGGGATGAATGACTCACAGGACAGCAGGGACGGTGAAGGAAGGTGCATGGCAGAGCCTGTGCTCCCCGCTCAGTATCCTTAGTATCCTTTCTCTGTGTTCCCAACAGAACGATACAACCGGACCGGCCATTTCCACCACACCTCCTCCGAGAACTCGGACCACAACAATGTGCTTGTGTCTCCTGTGCTGGTGGCAAGTGCAGTCATAGGTATGGTCGTCGCCATCTCCTGCGTCACCATCATCGTGGGCAGCCTCCGCAGGGACAGTCAGGGCGGGGCCCAGCAACCCCGCCGCCGCCGCCGGGAGTACGAGGATAGCCAAGGTGAGCTGCTGCCCCACTCAGCGCCTGTCCTGTCCGATTGTGACTGGAACCCAGGGGGCACCACGGAGGTGGTCAGGGGAGGCATCCTAGCGGGCTTAGCGATCTGAAAGAGCTCACAGCCACCCACCGTAATGTTCTCGGCGGCCTGAGGAGCCCCCCCCCCCCCCGTTGTCTGCCGGGGGTGGGGCTGAAGGTCAAAGGGAAGACACGTGGCTACTCCCAAGCCCTCGACACTGTGGGTCCAGGCTGTACCGATAACTGGTCCCGATGGTGCCTGGATGGAGGGATGGATGGAGAACGGCGTGGGTGGGTGGGACGGGAGGATAATCCGGTGGGGGGAGGAGTAGGTGAGGGAGGGGTGAGATGAGTGAGCGGGTGGCTCAGTGGGTGGGTGGAGAGAGGGATGAGCGGAGGGGGTGAGGGGTGGAGAGCTGCACGGGTGAGTGGAGGATGGGTGGGTGGACGGCTACGTGGGAGGGGTGGGTGGACAGGTGGAAAGATGGGTGGGCAGGGACCAGGGGAATGGATAGGTGGGCTGTTGGAGTGGGCAGATGAATAACTGGATGGAATGAATGATGAGTGGCTGCCTCAATCTCCAGAGACCCTGCAAAGTACAAGCAGACCTGACCTGAGACTTTCCCCGGTGCAGGAGTCACCCTTACAACAGAGCTGGTGGCTACCTCTTGGGCTGACCAGTCCCGGAAGTGTCCATCTGCCCAGTCTGCCCCGACTTTTTAGAGAATGCAGCCACTTGGCTGTTTCATTCTTGGAAGGGGCCTAAAAGCAGCAGGAAGGAACTCCATTGTATTCAATTCTCAGACAACCTTCAATGGCAGGAAAATGCCTGCCCTGTGGCCTGAACAGGCCTCTGCTTGAGTCAGAGAAAAGAAAAGCAGGTTTGCAGAGTTGTCTAACCCCAGGGGGCACCATTCACACCGCAGATGACGATTAAGCGCTTTGGAGGCTCCATGGCAGGGCCCCGGGGTCTTTCCCCCTGCGGGACAGAAGGAGCACCTCCGTCACGCTCCTTCCCACCTCTGCCCCTTTGCACGTGCTCTTCCCTCTGCCCAGGATGCCATTCCCCAGGCTTCCCCAGCTGACCAAAGCCTGCTTGTTTGTCCAGGCCCAGCTCCAATGCCACATCTTTTTGGAACCTTCTCTGGCCCCTCCAGAACCCTCTCAGATTGGGTGACTCCCCTCTCCCTGTCCTGTCTTGGCATCACACCTTCACCTCCACCGATGGCCCTGTCATGGGATGGCTGTGCTGCGCCAGTGACCGCAAGGCCTCACAGCGCGCCCTCTGGTGGGGCCCACCGCCCGGCCCAGGGCCTAGCCCAGAAACGGCGCTCTGTGGGCAAGGAGGGGAATCGCCTTTTTTCGTCCTCACAAGAGCTGTGTTAGCCCATTTTAAAGATGGGAAAACTGAAGCAACGTGCTGAACAGCCTAGAAGCTCCCAAGCCTGAGCCTGGTACATGGAGCACGGGCGAGGGGTCCACTGTAGTTCCTAAGCTCAAGTCTGAGAGGACAACCTTGGCCCTGAGGAAGGAGATGGGCCTGGGGGTAGGCCAGTCCCTCCTGAGTCTATGGTGGGGCCGCGGGGCCATTGCCTCGTGAGCAAGGCCCTCGCTCCTGACCTCCACAACAAGCAGAGGGACAGGTCACAGCCAGGCCAAGTCTGGGGGTCAGGCCTTTGCTATTCTATGCTGACGCTTAGCAGTGGTGCGTCCCTGCTGCTGTAGGGACCCCTCTGTGGGGCTCCCTCCTCCCTAGCCACTTCTGTGCTCAGCTCAACCCTGGCATCCCCCGGGGCCTCAGTGGGGAGCCTGGAGGTGCTGAGGCCCCCCACACCTTCCTCCCATCTTCTGGGGGCACGCAGGGTCTGGGGCTGCCAGGAACCTCACAGACACGCCAGGGAAGAAAGGAAGAACACACTGCGTGCTGCTGTGGGGAGAACACCACAGTGGCACGGCACCGACAAACATTGACCTATTGGCACTGGGGACCCTTGTGTCCTCATACACACCTTTCCCCTGGCTCCAGGGACAGGCTCTCCCAAATCTCTCTCCCACCACACTCAGACTTCTTGGTGGATCCCTATTGTCTGAGAAGAAGAGTATCAAGGGCCTTCAGAGCCGGACCCATGGCCCTGGGTCCTCTCTCGATGCCCGTGGGCAGCCTCAGGCCCCCCGCCCCCACCGCCCCTTGCTCCAGCCTGCTGCAGCCCCCACCTCGACCCCTGTCCGTGCACCCAGCTGTCCCCAAGCAGCTTCTCCTGAGGTCCTAAAGCCACCTCACACCCACAGGGTCCAAAATGGACTTCATCTTCCATGCTTACTGGGAAATTGCTTACCCTCTGTGTTCCTAAAGTGAGTGATCTCTAAAATGCATACACAGGACCCACCCCCAGAAGGGGAGGGCGGGGGCAAGGTGCTGCTGATCTCAAAGAGAGGTCATAGCCCCGCCCCAGATAAGCCCTGCCTCCTGAGGGGAGGAGCCACCTGGGAGGCCATTGGTGATGGGGAGACCTCACTGTCCCCCAGCCATGGTCCCCCAGGCACATCGAGGCCTGTCAGTAACTGGGAGGTGGAGAACTTACAGGGTGAGGAGCCAGCACAGCCAGCTGCCCCTGGCTCTACCAAAAACTAGCTGTGTGGCCTCAGGCAAGTCACTGCACCTCTCTGAACTTAAGCTGTAAGAGGAGAAGACCTGTGCTCCATCAGCATCTCCTAAGCAGTGTTACCAGGTGGAAGAGAGTAAGATTCTGTGGTCAAATGCTGGAGAAGCACAATTAAATGTGTTTCTCAGCTGCAAGGCTTTTCAGGGCCTTTAATATGCTAATACGTGGACTCAGCTCTGGGTGCCCCTCCTCCAGGAAGCCCTCCCTGACCTCCCACAGCCTCAGTACTATGTCTATCAAAACTCATGACACACTGCTCAGTACTGGGCTGTCCCCAAGGCAGCCTGCCCACCACCCTGGGAGCCCCACCAGGGCAGGGCCAGCGCTGCTCCCTGTCTGGGGCGCCACGCCCAGCTCAGTGTTGGGGCTCACACTCTGGCTGTCACTGAGGGGATCTGTGCTTGGTGAGGAGTGGGGTGGTGCGTTGGAGAGAACAGAGTCTCGGGGGTCTCAGATAAACATGTGAGGGCCCTCCCTGGTGCCGGCCTGAGGCCTGGGCTCAACGTCTGTTCCCTGCAGAGTCGGACGAGCCCACGTACTGGAGCCGTGGGATGCGCTACGCCTGCAGCCTTGTGGGGGACTGGCCCCCACCCGCGGACCTGAGCCCTGGTGAGGAGGCGAATGCCATGGTGCTCCAAGAGCTGTACAGAGATTCTCCACCAGGGTAAGGAGGCCCGTGGGGAGAAGGGTGTGAGAGGGTGGGCTCCGTGCACAAATTCCCCCCCCCCCCACAGGAAACAGCAACACCTCTGCAAATGGTATAAACGCAGGAAGCATCTGCTCAGAGGGCGTGACCATCTCCTCACCCCTCCTGACCAAGAAGAGCCCAGTGAGGCAGGGTTTGACTCAGCAGAGGTCTCATGAGAGGCTTGAAAAGGAAGGAGAAAAAGCTCAGTTCCTCCAGGCTGGGGTGAAGGGGTGGGATGGAGGGTCCAGGCCCCCGCTCCTTAGTATGTGCCCCCAAAGCCCAAGTCACAGCCGCTGGGACGGGGTCACTGTGTCCGAACTGCAGTCAGGCAGTCAGGGCATTCAGGCGGCCCTGTCCCATTGGAGGATTCTTCTCTGGAGGGCCCTTGGGTCCTCTCCTGCCCGCCACCCTTAGGCAGCTCACCCACCAGTTTGTACTTGAAGAGAGAAGAGAGGCCAGGGCTTCCATCACTTTCCTGCCAGGAGACCCCACAGGCCAACAAGCCCCCAGGTCCTCCCCATCAGCTGGTCACCCTTTTCCCTCTGCCCTCGGGGCATTGGGAGGGGCAGTGCAGTCGTGCCTCCCCCAGGCCAGAGGATGCTCTTTAGCCCTGTGCCTGTGGGTTCAGAGGGGCCCCCGGGACTCCTTCCTAAACCCAGAAGGGCCACTCTGGAATGACTTGATATCAAGGGGTGCCTGGCAGCCGGAGGTGCTCCCACCGGCACTACCCACACTCCGCGCCCAGCCTGGGAGGTGCTCCGTGCACAGCAGCCGCTGCTGCTCTGAGCGAGCTGAGACCCACGGGCCAGCGACTTGCTCGCTCAAGCTCGCAGAGAACATTGCGGCTGAGTCAGGACCGGATCTAGGTCTCAGTGGTTCTGCGTGCCCCTCCCGGGGAGCAGAGGGGTTTCACTGGAGCCATCGTGACGAAGGCCTGGCTGGTGCATTGCCAGGGCAGCCTGTCACTGAGGACAGGCTTTCAGCTCTTGGGGAAGACCCCACACCGCCCCAAGGCCAGGTTCCACAGGCCCTGAGCGAGCCCTTTCTCTTGTAGTTACGAAGAGTGCATGGGGCCAGGGGCCACGCAGCTGTACATCCCCACGGATGCACCTCCACCCTACTCGCTGACCGACTCCGGCCCCGATGGATGCCAGCAGGCGCAGAGCGGCCTCCGCACCATCTCCATGGATGCCCTGCCCACGTACGAGGCTGTGTGCGAGGTGCACCCTCCATCCAGCCTGCTGCCACTGCCAGGCCCAGAGCCAGGGCCAAGGAGCCTCCCGGGCTCACCCGAAAGGGTCATGTGAACGCCAGCGGGCCACGTCCTGCCAGTCCCTTGGGGCTGAGCAAGACCTTTCAGGCACACAGGGGAGCACGTGCACGCACACACATGCACACACGCACACACAGGTACACACACACACACACACTACTCATGCACACACAGCAGTCCCACATGCACACATATATACACAACTTGTACACATACAGAAACTGACACTCCCATGTGTACATACACATCCAAACATGCCCCACGTGCACAGCCATGTGCACACACAGATCCCCCCACGCACACATCTATACAAATCCATCTGTGAAGGTTTCATTAAAAATGAAGCTCCGCCTACCTCCCGTCTCCTCCCCAGACTGTAGGTTATGACTCTGGACAGCGCTGGGAGAAGAGCGGTGGAGAAGGGATTAAGGCTTGCTCCCCCCTCTCCCCAGGCCTGTTTGCCCCTGCCCTCGCCTGGCAGGCTGTGCCCAAACTCTGATTCTGTCTCCAGAAACAGCTCGGCCATCCCAGGTCAGCTGCCTGCCCCCAACCTTCCCAAGGGCAACGTGTTTCCGCCCCTGCCCCGGTTGGTGGGACAGGCCTCAGTGAGGCTCAGCTCTGTGCTGAACCTCTCTATCAAGTACAGGGCAGAAGAAACACATCACCACCCTGCCACTTACAGGGTGAGGGACAGGGGCCTGGGGGGCTCAGGCATGACCTGGAAGCCCCCACAGCCCACCCCGCCCTCCCCCTAACACAGTGCCCTCAGCCTGGTGGTGCTAGCGGAGTTATCCCCCTCCGGAGCCCCGCCCTGAGCCACAGGTGATACAGGGCTCCTGGTGGGCGGGCAGCGGTGGGGGGGTTACAGCTGTCCCAGGGCAGCCCAACCACTACCCAGGACTGAGGGTCTTCAAAGGAGATAAGGGCTCTGAGGCATAGGAGTGGCCCCTCAGGAAGTAGCCCCGAGGGCCTGAGCTCAAATGGGCTGGAGCCAGGCCCCAGGAGCTGGTACTGTCCTTTTGGGTGGTGGCTCCTAGTTGGACACTGAGCTGACATGTTTCGGACCTACCCTCAGGGGTGCGTGCAGAGACAAAGGCAACCGTGAGGGGACCTGTGGTCACACCTCGGCCTTGATGCCAGGGCACCACGGATGATGTGCGGGGTTGCCTAGTAGTAGAGAGGCTCTGATCATGGCCCACGTAATCCAGCAGTTCCATCAGAGACCACGCAGGTAAGAGGGGGGCAGCCGAGTGTGTCTGAGGAGTGTCCCGCCAGCATCACCAGCGGCAGGGAGCAGAGGCCTCAGTTCCACTCTGCTCCCTCCCCCGTCCTTAAACAACCCCCCGCCCACCCTCTCCCCCACCCTTTAATTCCTCCAACGAAGGGCTATAACAATTCATTAATCCCTTTCTTAAGAAGGGGGGTGGCAAGAATGGGAATTGTGAATTTTATTTTGTGTAGAAATAGTATTTTTTTCCGGTGCAGAACTGAAAGGAATCCGTCAAAGGTTCGGTAGCACCTGGAGCCTCTGGCTCCACTTGGAGTAGGGACCTTGTTTACAAGCAGTTCTGTCACCTTTGTGGTGTACTGTTTTCTAGCAAAAAATATCTGTCTGTTGTACTGTATAGCTTTTGAAATGCACTCCAAGGATGAAACGCATCCTGCTTCTGCAACCCTCAGAGTGCTGGGGGGAAAAAAATCCCTATGTACTCATCAGTGTTTGAGTGAACAGCTTTTCTTGTTCCTGGATTAAGCGCTAAACAAGCAACAATGTATCTTTTCTGTGTTCAAAGTAAATATATCATATCAATAAAAAATGTTTCAAGAAGTAATATTATCAAAGGGGGAGGGGCTGGTGCCATCTGAAACTTCTAAGGAAAGGAAACAGGAAAACAGCAGCAAACTGACAATATGTTACTTCCCTCAGAATCAGCAGCCATTGAAACCTTGTCATTTTCCTGTTGACACGAATCTCTGGGTAGTGAGTCCCGAGTCCATCAGCCCACACTGCCACCTGCTGGCCGCCCGCTGCCACTGTTCAAAACAAAAGAGCCTGAACCTGAAGACTGAGCAAATACCCTTCTCCCGTGTTCAAACCCACTGCCCACAGTCAGTCGTAGTTGTGGACAAAACTTGTCTTCTACACTTGGGATGTTCCATGAGGTTTAACCCATTCAAGATTCCCATTTTCAGGAATAGCCCCTGTCCCCCAGCATCTTTCTCTGGGCACAGCCTGATACCTATGGTAAATGTCCTCTCCATATGCAATATAACCACTCTGTCCTTCTAAACATCAGTGTGAATGGCTCAGAAGCCACCTCCGTGTTCTAGGGCCCCTGTCCCTGGGAATGAACATAGCGGCCTTCATGGTGATGGCATCTAGCCATGTGCTGACCCCACCCTGAGCCACCCCACACTGATACCCGGTTCCAACAACAAACACACTCAGAGGACTGTTGGGCACGGCTTTTCCTGCCTCCTCTATCCGTAACACGCCCTGTGTCCACTCATGGCACCACATTCAAGGTCCTTCTGTGCACAGGACTGACCTCTCTCTGCCAGGTACCTGAGGGGAGGGGGCTGAGGGGGACACTTGTGCAGTCGCGGGGGTTCCCCAGAGTCTTCAGAAAGGGGAGCTGCAACCGATGGTGTGTGAGGCCATCACAGTGGTCAGCGTGGCCTGCCACCGAGGCAGCAGGTATGGACAGGGCACATTCCAAGGCCTTTGGACAAGGTGCCAATAGCATCTGCCACACACGAGCCACATAAATCACCCGAGAGGAGGAGGAAGGAGGGTTCGTACAAGGTACGACCATCCACAGCTCGCTCTGGCCAAGCCCCCTGCACAGGCACACACAGCCTCGCATCCTGTTCCTAGAGACACCCTGACACATACCCGCATGTAGCACCGCTCAGCTCACGCCACCTGTGCTTTTGTATACATCTGCTCAGACGGCTTTGGTGCACACACTGTAGCACCCCTTACACACTCAAAGTTCCCACACACACACTCCAAGGCCGACTCCCATACTCAGGTGTCATCATCAGTGACTGACCTGGTGACAAAGGTCTGGAGGTGAGCAGTGGGAGGACCAGCAGCCTCAGTGTCGGAGAGGGTGACTCTTCCTTCCTTGGCTCCGCTGTGCTTGGCCTGACGTGGCACTGCCCCTGGCCCACATGAACTCTCTCAATCGGGACCCGTTGCCTGGGTCAGGCCCAGTATTTCCAGGCGAGGGGGCTCCCAGCGTGCCTGCTCGGCGTCTCTCTGAGGAGTCCCAGGTCTGCAGGTCCTTAGGCCTGTGGTTACACCCTCAGCCTCACCACAACCCCCCATCCTCACCGGCCTGACTCCTGGGGTCCTGGGGCTGCCCTTCCTTCTGCTCTGCAGCTGGTGGCTGCCTGGTCCTTGACCCCCCACAAAGTTCAGGCACCACCTGAACTACCGGGTGGAACAGGTGGACCGCTCTGGAAAGGGGAACCCTCCACCCCCAACAGGCTCCGAGCCTCACCCCCATTATTCAATTTCAAGAGGCAGAAACCCAACTTAAACAGGAAAGGGTATTTATTGGTTCGTGTACCTAAATTGTCCAAATGACAATTCCATCTTCGGGCACAGCTGGATCCTTGGAGGCCGAGAATATAGGCTGGTGTGTCGTCTTTTTTGACTCCGCTGCCTGCCATGCTGCCTTCATTCACCCACAGAAGCAATGGCTGTGGACACCCCAAGTACGCTGGCTGACCCAAAATGAAGAGAGACTCTCTCCCAGAGAGCAGATATCGAATCTCAGAGAAAAATGACTGACCTGGGCACGCACGCATGCCTGACCCTCTGCGAATGGCTGTGGCTTGGGGGAGAGTGTCTGATTAGTGGGGCCTGGGGCCTGTGCCCACTCCCACCAGGGAAGGGGAGCCAGACTTTCCTGGAAAGTGTTTTCCAAAGCAGAGAAGGAAGAGGGAAGGAAGTACTGGGCACATCCAGAATTGGGGACTCTGCCCTGTTCCCTGACACAGCGCAGCCCCACCCACTAGCTCTCAGTCTGAATAGTGACACCGTGCCAGGGGTCCACGGCAACCACATGGTGAGCTAGCGCGGGTGCCGGGGCAGGGAAAGTGGAGAGAGCTGCTGATCAGGGCCCAAGGTAGAAGATGGAGGAGTCCAAAGTAGCCTATAGCGGGACACCAGACTCATAGGGACACCATCTTCATCCTGTCCTGGCTCTTTCCCACAGTGGCCCTGCCAGGGGGGGCCTGGGGCCAGAGGCCCTGCTGCAGTGCCTGCTGGGAGGGGCCTCGGCCGCTGAGGGTTGTCAGCCCACTGTGCACAGGGTACTCTGTGACTCAAGGACGATGAGGTTTTCACAGGGAATACACCCATCCATAGTCTGGTTGTAACAGAGCAAAAGGAAGTCAGGCCTGAGGCTCAGGCCCAGGCATTGACTCCCGGAGGTTGGTTTGCTGCGGGCCTCCTCCGTCTCCCCGTCCTCTCAGCCCTCCCCTCCCTGGACTGTCCCTGTGAGTCTGAGCCTCCCCTGCCAGACGGGCACCCAGGGTCTGGCCCAAGCTGGTTCCTCTCTGTGGGGTGGGCCCAGTGGGGTTGAGGGGCGGACACCTGGCAAGAACACTCAGTTCAACACAGCTCTGAAGACAGTAAGTGCTGAGTTCCAGGCCTGGGCGCCACCAGGCAGCACCCGGCCCCATGGTCCACGGCCGAGAGCCTGGGCTCGGCGGGCAGCCTGGGAGCCTGTGGGCAGCAGGGACGGCTGTGCGTGAAGGCTGGGCGCTGGGACGCAGACCTGCCTGCCCCTGCTTCTGTCACCAGCTCACCGTATGACCTCACTGTCTGTCCTCTTCTGGGTCCCAGGACCCCCACCCACAGAAGCCCTTGCAGATCTCCAGTGCCCCCTCTCCTCTGCCTGCCTCCTGCATTGTCCCCAAAGCCAGTCACCCTGGCAGGCAGAAAAAGCAGATTCTCTCTAAACCAGCCATCCACCCCCACCAGCCCCCAGGGCCCAGCAGTGTGAGTAATGCAGGGAA